CGAGATGGTCCACATCAATGGTTAGAGACATTGTCAGACATGGCCCAGTCGCACCCTCAATGGCGCTTGTGCATCCAAGCTATTGCCTTCAGTGCATAGCTCCCTTCTCAATCTCCCCACTTGACAGCCCACTGACAGTGCTGGGTTTATGCATTAAGTCATCATCCCCCGCCCTCAAATCATCGGTGAACGAAACTGCGGAAGCTACAACCATTGTAGGACAAGTACGCGGTTATTACGGCTGACAATGATGATGATGACAAGCGTTCTTCGACGTTTTAGTTGGACTTCGCAGTTGTATTGCTGCTTTCAGTCGGTTTGTACTGACAATTTGACCCAAGTTTGCTCGTTGCAGGCTCCTTGCTATTGGAGCTTCAAGATATATATATATATNATATATATATATATATATATATATATATGAGAGTGCTAACCATCATCTCTGAGTGTCATTAGCACTTTATGAACAGCAATTAACAGGCGTAACCAGTGACGTCGTGTATCATTTCGGCTTTCGTCCAAATTCTGTCCACCCACCACCTATCTCCGCGAACCGGAGTTTCCCCATATTCGTGATCCCACAACAGTGCTGCCAGTTTGGCCGCGTCAGCATCACTGACTTAGCGTTTCGTAGTTAGTTCACGACGTGTAATATTTCTGCGTTTCACTTTTTCCAAAGGTTATTGTGCACGCAGTCCCACTGTTATTGATAAATCTGAAAGCTTGAACACATGGAGACAGAGCTTTTGAAGTAATCCGTCCGGGGATGGGGGTAATTAGGTCAGGCAATCATCTAGAAAATATTCGTCCAGCCGTGACGCCCTTTCGGCGCCTAGTTGCCATACCATCCAAAAGAAGCACGAGGGCTGACATGCTGCCAGGTTCCCCACACCCAGACAGAAGCAGTTGAGATGTTCGGGTTCGAACTATGGACTTTCTGATCAGTCGATTGAAAACAGTTGTAAAATAAATTAACTGGTGAATGAAAGCTCAGCCACAATTCGCATATTTCCGTAAAACTAACGAAAATCCGGGTGTATCGAAATCGTAATGATGAATCAAAGTGAAACAAAATTTTTCTCACTTCGCTTATCTCCTGGCGACAAATATTGGCTTCGCTTGTGTGATTCCTGGTACATTCTGGGAATTATCTCTACAAAAATGTGACCCCTCCCTGTCCAGGCATTCTCATTGGGTCACAAATAATTTGCCTTTTGTTGGAGNGTTTGATTGTAGGGAAAAATCTAGCAACTGCCTGAATCTGCACGGTTTTCAGTGCGATTTTAAGCGATGCGTACAATTCAAACTTCCAGATTGCACATTGACCACTATCCATGATTAACAGGCTACCTAGCCCATGCATTGTTGTGTGTCGGTGGGAATGACTAACAACCCTTCTGTTTCGAATGCTAGCTGTCAGCTTCGACTGGCATTAATTTCATAATCGCGAACGCGTGGGAACTTGTGATGTGAAAAGAAAATAAATGAATCTCATGTTTGCGTGTTGACGGTGTTTACTTGTCCACATGATGGATCAGACCGAATGCAAGAACTTGCATTTTTTTTCACTACATGGCCGGTATATTACGAAAGACGCAGTTTTTAGGAACTGTTGCTCTCATTTCAAAATTATAGTTTGGAATGGCCCAGAACTCGCACCCTTAAGGTGTCTCGTGGCATAATCTAAGGCGACCAAGTTTTCGCCATACGCGGCACGAACTAGAATTACGGTATCATTGGGTGAGAGTTTGAAGCCGAACCGGATTCGTTTCGGCTTCACAACTGTGAACCGTGTAAGTGTGTGCTATGTTTTCCGGTCGCTGCAGCTTTTTCAGTGGAAATTGGAGGACCTAGGGGGTAAAGAATAGTAAAATCTCACTAAAAAAAACAAAGGAACAGCAGAACAGCGGAATAAATCCATCACTAATTGTGACTTGCCGTTCCTTAGGAAGCTCGAGGTTTGATACTGCCAAGTTTCCCAAGCCTAGACAGCAGCACTTGAGATGAATTGATTGGGTTCGAACCACCGACGTTCCAGCCCAGGCATCAATTACTGAGGGATCTCGAGGTCATGATATCGCCAAATCAGTGAGCACCTCCAGTCATTGATGTAATGGGGCTCACAGACGATAAGCACCAGTGAGGCCAAAACCACTTATGTTTTTCATGCTCCGTCATACGGCGTCCAACTTGTGGCACCTAGTTGGAACCTATCGCAACAAATGGTGGGACAATTGATTGCTTCGTATACGGAGCACATGATCAAACAAGCATATTTGAATCAGCCAAGCCAACGTACTACAGCATTGCTAATTTTATTTTCTCGCAATACATTCGCAATGACGTGAACCCACCGATTTTCAAATCAAGCAATCTTCCTCGGTATTCAAAGCACAGCGGCGAGGATTCACAATCACGAAGCAACACGACGCATCACCACATTGTAAGGCCTGGCTTTCATCGACGGACTAATGGCACCTCGACTCCAGAAGTGTCTACGCTTAATGGGAACAGAACAGGCTTTAGCGATGCTAGCATTCAGTTCCTCAACGATACTGTCGCTGGACATAATGCAACCACTCAGATGGGTGAATCTGTCCACCAGGTTTATTGATTTTGATACCTTGACCAGTTTCGGTGGCCCGCTCACCCAGTTTCGTAATATCACTTTGAACTTTGAAGGTACACAACACATACTGGAACACATGGTGACATTTCTTGGACGAAACGTATTACACTTATAAGTTTGCTGTCCGGTAGGTCAGCTGGCAAAGCGCCCTTAAACGGGAGGCTAATGTAAATGGGGTTTCCTTCAACTGTGGCGGTGACAGTGTTGGCTCTTCCCCTGTTCAAATGCTTTATAAACTGTCGGGGAACCCTTCGTCTTCTAAAACATTGGTGAGAGTTAGGATTTCTTGTTCCAGCGCATCATGGGAACATATTTCCTTCGTTCTGTAAGTGGATCAGATTCTACTTCCGCTCTAGTGACACGATGGTGTCAAAGTTGATGTATTGCTCGGACCAAGTGGGTTCTCAGTACACCGGTCGCTTCAGTATACCATCGTGACGTCGCTCAAGGCCGATATCTAGGAAGTGGAAAAAGTTATCGGTTTCCCTTTTTCAGGTGATTCGGATTGTTGCAGCAATTTGATCTCGGTTTTATTGTTCAAAACCGCGAAAATGTCGTTCACATATCGGCAGTAGAATTCTATCTTCTCTATGCCAGCTCATGAAAATGTCGGCTGGTATGGGCTCACCACTGGGCCCGATGCTAAGAAGGGTGAGAGCGGCCATGGTAGGTACGAACCTTCACCTGATTGTGCATGCAATATACACGCAACTAGTCTGATTTTTCAAGCGATACTTAGCTCAAGACTTGTGTTGTACGGCAGAGGCTGGTTAAAAAGGCAGTCACAACTGTGGTACCCTTTCGATACACAGTTGTGTTGCAACTTGAGGGAAGCGTTTGGGTTGAGTTACTGTCAGGTTGCTCAATTCTGGGTAGAGAGTAATCAACTACTGACCTTCCGGTCAGTGGTTTCCGGTTTGACCAATAGGCTATCCCGAGTTCTGCATAAAAATCGCTAACAAATCCTCAGAAGATGAGCGTGGATGCGTGATTACTTTTAAAAAATCAATATTGATGTTCTATCGTGTCACATCAGTATAAGTCAAAAGTGTTGCTACCGTTGGTAGCTGTTTGCTAGTTCACACAACCCTTGAGGATGTGACATTCTTAGTTTAAGAACATTGTTTCGCCGTCCTTCGATTAATGATCATCGACGTCTTCACGATCAAATAGCCGGGACAGTTTGGTCTGCTGCATTTGAGGCAATCATCCGTCGGACAGCGCCGTCTGATTATGCTCCCTGAAACAACCATTAAATGAATAGATGGATTATATTGCAATGAAGTGACAATGTTATCTCTCCATTTGGTCGATACCATCCGCTAATGCGGGCGGAGGATCTCAGAAATCTTCGGATCTTCGAATAACGAAGCAAGTATGTTTCGCTCAAACGATAACTTCAGCATTGCAAGCTAAAGTTGCCGAAACATGTTTTACGCATGCCGAGTTAGTGGGTGCCGAGGCGAGCACTGTTTCTGTGTCTAATTTGAAGTGGCGGAAACCTATAGGTGGACAGGATCTGACATACAATAGGGAATGCAGGATTTGCATAAATTCCAGGTACTGTTGGCTCTGTTCACCTTCCAAAAGAGGATGCACGTAACCCTTCATGTGTTTTGCTGAAGACACTCAACGGCCCGGCGGCTAACCGATGTCAGTGGCGTTCATGCCGTCAGTTTCTATTCAGATTGTCTAACTGAGTGCTGAGGGTGTAGGCACTTCGGTCTTTTGTAATAGGCTAGCCCTAAGTCCCCCTCTCCGCTCCATTTTTTCCATTATAAGGCTTTATTCGGATGAACTGGCACCGATGAACGCCAGTGAAGCCTCAGTGCTTTCAATAACTCAATGATTGTCGTTATTTTATCTGTTCGCCCGCTTAGTTTAGACGTCGTGTAAACTGAATAGTTTTTGTGATGTCTAGATATGGTCAAAACATGCACTACTTGGACGTTCCTTTTATGGATGTTGTTACAGTGCAGTGGTATGTAGTGCGAGCTGTGCGTGTCAAATCAGAACTTTAAACTCAGGAATGGATATCGAAAGCAGCAGTGAATCGTGGGGTCTTAGTACAGAACTCCAAACTCGTTCATTCTGACAATTTTTTCCGATCCCTTGGGTGTTCGCTTTCGGGTGCACTTCATTTGCAATGAGTTTGTCTGTATGAACACCCATCAGTTTGACATAAATATTAAAACGGATGAATTCAGTAGAATATACATGGACGAGCTGTAAAACTAGCATATTTCCTTCTGGCAGCGTCAGTTCCGTATTTTAGAATGTACAGCCCCATTTTTGGTTTATCCATGGGTGACCTTTCCGTGTACTCTACCAGTCCGTTTTCCTCCATCTTTCTATCACACCCAATCAATAGCTTGGTGCTCTATTTCGCCCGTCGATTGAGGCCCGTTTGAATGATGAGCGGTGGTTTATCGATGAGTCCCCATCCGTTCCCAACGTGATCAACAACTCGTACATTATGGCTTGGTGTGAAGGCGTTCCGGCGTTCCGATTGGTTTCCAATCCTCCGGCTGACGGATATACAATCTATCCATCGAGCGAGGTGCGTTAATTCCCTGACGTTGTATTTTCGCCATTTCCCGCAGACTTTGTTGTCTCTTCTGGTACCCTTATTCCTTGTCAGTATATCTCGTGAAGCATTGCCGTTGCGTGCATTTCATGAGCTCTCTCCGGTCTTACAGTTCAGCTGTAGCACCATTTCGCTGGCTAGCTGCCGTGCCACCTGAAGGAAGCGCGAGGGATGAGATACTGTTATGTTGCCCAAGCCTAGACAGGAGCAGTCGTGATGCAGGTTTTAGGTTCGAACCCCTAACCTTCCGGCCAATAAGTTCGTGCCTTAATTACTGAGCCATCCCAAGCTTCACAAGCCTAGACAGGAGCAGTCGTGATGCAGAATTTGAGTTCGAATCACCAACCTTCCGGCTAATAAGTTCGTGCCCTAATTACTGAGCCATCCCAAGCTCCCGGCCTTATGGACTTATTCATGTCTTCGGATTTTCAACATAGTGTTGGCCAAAAGCGGGCTTCTTATGATTTGGTTGACGGAATAAGTAATTACTAGGCTTTTATGGGATTAATTATTTCCTTTGTTTCATCAGCAATTAGCTTGTCCACTTTGTACCTCAGTCGCAAACCTAGACACATGGGTCTCATTGACCACGTGCAGCCAAGAGTCCTGGCGTTTTCTCCACGAGCGTTTCACGTGCAAATTCGCCCGTCTTCTTGATTCTTTACCGCTTTTCCAGTTCGGTCAACTAATTCTTGGTATCGCATCGCTACGATATACATCAATGGAAGTTCGAGGGTGAGATATTTTCATGCCATTCAGGATCTTGTGTGCCATGGGTGCATGACGCAACATCTTGACCTAATCGAGGCGTCATGATGGACGATTATGCATCGCACCCCAGAGGTGTGTTTATTCAGCTGCGTGCTATTCAGCCTGACGTGATATTTACTGCACGAGATATTCGAGGAAAATACCATGAACATAGTCAGCCGCTCCTTTCACTTTTCACAGACACCTCGAAGACCGTCCACTCGGTTAGTCAAGAAGTTCTTTCCGAATTAGCTTTCTGCCAGCATTCATCAATCCTATCCAGAGCCTGCCTGACGGAATGGAAGCAAATGCGCAGACCAGTTGGTCGACTTCAAACGGTTTTAAAATCCCCAGTAGCCGAAAGTAGGAATGGGTTCTTGCCCCCTTCTCCGCACTATCCATAAAAAGGCTATCATGAGCGATGTTGCTGATATTCAGTCCGAGTGTCGGCTTGATGGAAGTCTGTCCGGTAACCGACGTTTTGGTGCTGGGAGCATGGTTCAACAGACCACGGTCCGCATTTTCATGTTTGCAGGCTGCTCAAATGCAGGCAAGTTGAGTTGCAACACATAACCGGGAAGTTTGCAACTGCTACTGCACAGTTTAGCTTTGCACCACCTAAGCCAGGTGTGGTCTGCAACACTCGTCCATGCGTCAAGGCCGCGGACATCCGCTTACTCAAAAGTACCCAGTCCGCTAACTTGACCGTAGATAGTGAACTGTAATTTCGTGTCGCTGAGGCCAGTGTAGCTTTTGGTAAGCTCGAGAAATGGTTGTGGAGAAACCGCAGTCAAGCCGCTCCGAATAACCCATCACTTCGATTAGGTTGCTACGGAGCATGCCTTGATTGGTCAATATGGGCCAATTGGAGTTGGGTATTTGCAGTTCGGCCCCGCCGCGAAGATTCTAGTGTGACATTGTGTGAATTTCTGTAATCACTCCGGAAATACAGTTATAACAATCTTTCGTCTAAACAAGAGACCGCCTCAACAATAGCCAGATGATTTTCCACACCTACAGACGCTTATTCAGACAATGTGGATGGAAACTGACAAATGTGCCGTTGACATCGATGCTCGGCTATATCTTGCAGCGTCTCCAACCGTGCACAGGGAAGTCACATGGATCCCATTCCGAAAGGTGACTCATACTGATAGTAGGCAGATTTTCCGTAAGCGCTTCTATACCTCTATACCAAACTCTGTTTGGGCCACACTGAATCAGGCACTGAAAGCAGTACTCTTTCCGGCAAACGATGTTTCGGTCTGCGCGTTATATGACTAGACGCCGGTAGCTTTTGGAGCTGACTGAAATCCCTCGGAATGACTATAGTGGACTTACACTTCGTTCTATTCCTATTGCGTTCTATTCCTCACAGTTGGGCCTACAGGGAAGCATCATGGTTGAGCACTGATGTGTTGTCGATGATGACGGTGATGCTGATGCCGAGGTGATCATCTGAATTATTCTATCTAAATGGTCCGGGGATAGCCGCCAAAAACTGCTAATTAGTGGTTCACGTGTCCGATCCCCGTTTTCTCTTCCGTTCCCGCGAAATCGAGATCGCCTGCTAGGCTGGGTTTCCCGGGATCCATAATCCCACCTAAACTGATACTTATATTCCCGCTCGAGAGTTCTTGGGAAAGTCACTTCCTTCCGATTAGTCGTGACTAGCAGTTTCTTTATTTTGTCTTATTTCTATTGTTAGCTAAACACCCTTATGTTGGATTAGATTATTGCATGCCGAATTTCCATTCAGCCGAACTTTTCTACCGGTCAAATTCATTAATTTTCCGATGGCGGTTTTTGGTGTTTTCATGGTTCGTGTGACATCCTATCTTTCTGCTCTCTTGTAAGGATGGTTTTTGTACATATGAGCGTTTTCGAGTATTTTTATTGCAAACCCAGTGTTCCGAGATGCTAGTCGTCGTGACTTTAAGCCACTACGAATACCGTTTCTTTTTTCGGGCTCTCAATGAGCGTCAGTTAACTTGAACGAACTTGCTAGCAGCCCAAATTATTTCTTCTTAAATATGTTTTCTGGTGCAGATTGATTTATATTTGATGTTTGATGCTCATCATACCCGGGCCCTCTTCCTGTCTTTTCTATCGACAGTCCATGCCCACATTCGTTGCTCCGCCCTCACCGGAGGATCCCGACAGCGCCGAGGTGCTCGATGAATTCTTGCATCCAAGTTCAACTCCTGAGCAGCATCCGGATGCATTGCTTGGTGAGTATACTTAAAAAGATTTTTAAAGTTTTACTCATTACCCGTGTTGGTTTTCCCACCAAGCTCGAGCGAAGTGCATTCACCGGTAAGCTGACACTGCCGTACTTAGACCATACGATACTTTGTTGCACCCCACAAACTTAGCTCACCTTCGTGCGTACCGTATAGTTGACTTTCAGGAAGACAGTTAACCGGACTGTTTAAGTTGATACAGTCGTCCTGATACTTCACTATTTCACAGTAGCTTTGAGGATGAGCTGCAGTTTGTGTCGATCCCAACGGTAATCATCACCCTGCAGCTCAAACATAAAGTGGTATCCTCTTGTCCCACAGTTAAATCGTGACGTACGTATTATTGTGTATTCCAGACGAGGACGAAACAGGTGTGTAGTGATTCATTCTGTAATTGTACATTCAAGTTTCTCTGAAGAGGCCAGAGCGATAGGAAGGATGGATTACAACGAATTGTTGAACTTCTCTAGTTACGACGGTTGATCTCTTGAGATATCTGAAGTTTGCTACTTTGATTCAGTTGAGTAGTATTGCCCTCCAAATCCATTTAAATCTGCGCACTTATGCATGTTGCGTGGCTATGATTACTTTTCCCCAGGAGCAATCCTGGGAAATACAACCTCCATCTATTTTTTCGTCTATTCAGATAACGTCGGAGCCCCGTTCATTCGGCGCACACGTCACTTGGATTTGAGTGAGGCGTTGGGCGTTAAACCTAACGAGCTGCCTATTTCTCTTAATTCCAGACCCTGTAAGTTCTCGAAACCCACTCACTTATGATCATAACCGGCCGTTTGAAGGTATATTATTTAAAGCAGATCGTCAGTTGAATTTCTCTTGTCTTCTAGCTGTTCTATGACTTAACTGAGAGATTCATCCGATTTTGCTCACCGTGTGCACGTTTACTTGAAACACGTTGCACATGACGGTATGCACAACATATTTGGATACAGCGAAGTACACTCATTTGCAAACCAGTTTGGTTTTGCGGGAGACTCACGCGGAACTCAGCTGAATCTCTCGTTTATGATAATTTCAAAGACGGGGAGCATTCAACCATTCAACCCTCCGGGACATTCGTCCTAGGGGAACTTTGCGCTCGCAGCATACATTAGACTACCTCTTACAGTTTCATTCAAGACCTTGTGACGGTCCCAAAGGTTTTTATCCGCTATCGAGCTTTACTTGGATTTTCGCTCCCGTGTAATGGATGAACGCTTCTTTTGTAGTCTCCAATATTTGCGTGTTTGGATTGTGTCAACCCACGATACCGTGACTGTTAAACAAACCTTCGTCGAGCAGACGCTAAACTCGCCCTGTGATTGGGATACGGACTGCTTACTGGAACCTCATTGCATACCTTTTACACAGAGGTAATGAATTGTCAGGTGTTAAGTGTTTTACGGTTTCAGCAAGGCTGCCATGACTGATGCCTACTGATGCAACCTGGTGAACACGTGGGCTCTTCATCAACCCATGTTATGTAACCAGCTTCAAATAGGAATGAGTTCGAAATGGTTCCGTTAAGGCGCGAAGTTTAAAACTGGAGGATCGGTGATCCCAACCCCAGGACATCGACTGCTTCTGTCTAGGCTTGGATATCCTGGCAGTATCTCAGCCCTCGTGCTTCCCTCGGGTGGCCTGGCAGTTAGGCACCGAAAGGCCTTTTGGCTGAACGATTTTCATTATCATTATTGTTATTATTAGAACAGGAGCTGCAGTACAAAGAATTTATGAAAAATGTGTGTTCTAATGTGGTAAGAGGTTAACAGTGATAATCATTTGGAACTAGATAAATATCGCACGGTTTTGTCTTGTGCTTCGGTGTATATCCTGTCAGGGCTAAGCATATTTGTTTCAAAGAGGCATATTGTCCTGGTGGACTAGTTTTTCAGCGGTGTTCATGACACAAACCAAGAGCGAAACAGGCTTACACGTGAGACAGTCACGCATGCATAAGGTTGGCCATAAAAGGGCTAGATGACCTCAAGGCTAAATGAGTGAAGTGGCTTGAACAAATGAAAGCCAGTTCATATGCATGCATGAGTGGGGCGGGGGTTACAAATGGGGACAGAAAAAATGTGGGGAATTTTTAACGTCAAGGCGATGGAGGATACAGTGGCACTGACTGAATCCTCAGTCTAGGGACCCAGAAGTTGTCTGAATAGTTTCCTACTGTTGAGAATTAAAAGGTTCACTGAAGTTTCCCATTAGCGTCATCTCAGTTTGCAAATAACTGTCTGACTGCACAAAGTTGAACATTGTTCATAGACTGTTTGGAAACTTCCGTACAGTGTATTTTGTATTTTGATCTGTCGTAACTAAGTGGTACTCTTCTTGTCGATACCACTTTTTTGTAGGTCTTTTGTTTGAGACTATTTTGGAAGGTAATTGGTACGTGTTGTTGCAGCGAAGTTTGCTGCTATGAGCAGAGCTAACGCGCTGCACTAAGGAGTGTGCATACATAAAATATGATACCTCACAGGCTTAACGCGGTTTCCCCATCTCCGTTATGTAATATCAGCGAAATAAACGTGTGCGTTTTGTTATCGCTTCACCCACACAATTTGCTCCGCATAAGTTTGTTCTCTTCTGGCTGGTGGCATTCGTTTTCACTATGAATTATAATTTCTCGATGTTGGACCTATATAGCCTGGCATCAGTTTCCCGGTAAATTTCTCAGGGTGTTTACCTAGTTGCTTGCGAAAATGAAATCATTTCACGTTGTACCACTGTTTCGTGCATCTCTGTCGCCGTTCTTTTGACGGGTTTCGATTTCTTTTTCATTTCTATGAATTTCAGTGACGGAACAACCAAGTCGCCGCCGCCCACGTCATGTTGCACCTATCGGTGAGTGATAAGAATCATTGGTGTCCCTCTGAACGCTCCTGTTTTGTTTGTGCATCACACTCAGTTCACTTGATTTATGCATATATCCTGTTGAACGTAACTGGTGGTGAAATCTTTGCTAAGCTTAAAATGTGACATGACCAACCGGTAAATTCTCATTCCTTTCAAATAAAATTATCAGCACTCACCGGTGCACCTCGGCGTGTAATGTGACTAATTGCCCTAGAGTTCATGAGTCGCACACCTAGCGCATGATTGGATATGATCTGTCGTGCGTCAGAACATGGTGTTCACTGACCGGCACTATCGAGCTTGTGATCATCCCTCATAGTCACTCCAGATGTTTAACATCCTCTTCACTGTTTTTTTTATTCTAACTTGATTAGACCGATTCCTGTGAATGATGAGTGGTGCTTATGGTCTAACTGTTGGTAACTCGACTGCGTTGCTTAGTTGTCGATCTGTTCATCCGTGTATCACTAAAAGGACACCAAAGAGAACAGTTAGGCTAAACTGTGAGCTGTTATGGTGCGAAGTGAAAAACTGGAAGGTGCGTGGTTGTAACCCTCCTCCGGCATTCCGACTGATCCTGTCCAGGCAATACCTCAGCCCACTTGCTTTCTTCGGGTGGCATGGCAGTTTGGTACCGAAAGTGTGTTGTGGATGAACTGTTATTGTTGTTACTAACCCTGCATTGACATTGTCCCATCGCATAACTACGAAGCTTATTGGAAAGCGATTGGAAGCCCGGTGAACACATCGACTACCACGTAATCAACAGCCAATCAGGATCAAGCAACTTGTATCGTGAGTTTGCGCCATTCCTACGTATGTGTTGCTCCCAAACCTGAATGTTTCACAGTTTTGGGTCTTGGAATCTCGACTCACAGAGTGGAGTCTACGATTTTCTACAAGGACAGAGCCGCTCAACATAAGTTGCGTAAAATTGCTAAAAACAGGGCAAGGAGTCTACGATTTTCTACAAGGGCAGAGCCGCTCAACATAAGTTGCGTAAAATTGCTAAAAAAAAACAGGGCAAATTGCTCCAGTTCTTGATGTTGCTAACTTGGAAGGCATAGGGGGTAGTCAGCTTTGATTGGTTTACTCTTAAGCCAAACCTTAACACTTTCGTTCGAACGTGTTTTCATCTACCGCAACCTTTCTTTTTACAATGAAGAGCTGCCTTCTGTTAGTTTTAGGTAGTTTCTGGTGAAGAGAATCCATCGAACCGAATTTCGTACTGACTTGCGCCAAACCCCGTCTATACCGTTCTCCACCTTGCAATTTGAATGATTTTGGTTCGCCGTTGATCGAGTCCAGCGCTCTCTCAATTTGCATACAGACGTAATTATCAATTCTTGCAGCATGGTGGCCATGTTCTGACTGGTGGTATCAAAAAATGTCGTTTTGTTTAGCTTGTTCCAGGGTATCGGAACACTGGTGGTATTTTCTGACTGATTTAATGAATGCCAACGGATATGCTTTTTCTCCGTGCCATTGTGTGTTGACTTAGCACCCGTTTCCAGTTCTGTGGATACGAGAAAACTAGGTGCTAGGGCGCCACAAATTGTTGGTCTGTTGCACGTATTTCCAATACTGATGCAGTGAAGTGTAACCTGGGCGATACTGAAGATATCTCTATAAGCATTGTTACGGCGCAGCACAGAAGTGTTAGCTCATGGATGAACTGGGCATAGGTAAAAATCAAGCGAACTCCAAACAGTATCCGCTGGAATGGCTTGCTTCATTGCTTGCTTGTAGCTCTTGAATGTCGGGGGACTTTATGAGGGTCCACTTTTTGTTGACCTCGTTAGAAGGATTTCATCCCGAGACAATCGCAGAATCGATTATTATCAGTGATAAGGTATAATGTTTGTTCGTGACTAGCCATTCAATGACCTGCCAACAAGTCCACGCCAGAAAATCAGCGACTCTTTGGGTAGTCCTCTTCGGAAGCTGACCAAGGGAATCAACGCGTGTAGCCGTTGTGTAATCATTGTCATCATCATCATCGACGGACAGCATACATCAATGCACAGGAAATCCGGCGTACGAGCAAGAGTCACCTGTTGACCTGCTTGCTGCAGAGTGTGGACATTAAAGCTGGCTAGGTAGACAGGCTTTCGGGATTGTACTAATTATGCTTGTTGAGTTTCCCGATACGGAACTTCGAGTGACGCGTAGGTTCAGCGTGTTTATTGCTGAGTAAAGAACGGAGGTTGCGGCAATCTGCAACCTTTTTTGCTTCACAGAGTCTGTCGATTGGTCTATTGATAAATCCACAATCAAGCGATGCCTACTTTTCGCTTAGCTTATTTACATAGCGAAGTTGGCACATTCATCAGAACAGTGATTCACCGCTAGTTACACAATAGTAATGATAATAATCATTCAGCTGTAACGCTCTATCGCTTCTTGGCTACCATACCATCCGATGGAGGCACGAGATATGACGTACTGCCTGGGTGCCCAAGCTGAGTCAGAATCAGTTGAGGTGTGGAGGTTGAGTTCGAAACACAGCTTCCGGTCAGAAAGTTTGTGCCTTGACCATTTAGCAGAGCTCTTCTCGCCCAGCCCTGTGCTGAGTGGAAGCAGCCGAGAGGTGGACAGTGTATGGTTTGTCAACGAAGTATGAAAACACTAACCAGTAAACTCGGTCGGGTGGACAACTGCCGCCTCCCTGGATGGGGACCCCGGGACTTAACTTATCGATGGTTAGTGACACTGGCAGAAATGGCCCAATCGCGCAAGCAGCGGTGCTGTTGTATCGAAGCTATTGCCTTCACTATGTAGCTACCCGATTCTCGAACATGCCATCACCTCCAAGGCTTGGCCATATCTACCGCACTCTCGCACTTTCCGGTGTTCGAAACTACGGTAGATGGAGCCAATGTGCCTATGGTACACGATTTATAGCTGACAAATTGATTATTTATTTATTTATTTAATTATACTTAATGCCTTTAGTTGGCAAGAAAAGAGTGATTGAGGTAGGGACCTAACGTTAGCCTGCGGTAGCGTGCCTGCACTTCCGCTTAACACTTTCGTTCGAACGTGTTTTCATCTACCGCAACCTTTCTTTTTACAATGAAGAGCTGCCTTCTGTTAGTTTTAGGTAGTTTCTGGTGAAGAGAATCCATCGAACCGAATTTCGTACTGACTTGCGCCAAACCCCGTCTATACCGTTCTCCACCTTGCAATTTGAATGATTTTGGTTCGCCGTTGATCGAGTCCAGCGCTCTCTCAATTTGCATACAGACGTAATTATCAATTCTTGCAGCATGGTGGCCATGTTCTGACTGGTGGTATCAAAAAATGTCGTTTTGTTTAGCTTGTTCCAGGGTATCGGAACACTGGTGGTATTTTCTGACTGATTTAATGAATGCCAACGGATATGCTTTTTCTCCGTGCCATTGTGTGTTGACTTAGCACCCGGTTCCAGGTCTGTGGATACGAGAAAACTACGTGCTAGGGCGCCACAAATTGTTGGTCTGTTGCACGTATTTCCAATACTGATGCAGTGAAGTGTAACCTGGGCGATACTGAAGATATCTCTATAAGCATTGTTACGGCGCAGCACAGAAGTGTTAGCTCATGGATGAACTGGGCATAGGTAAAAATCAAGCGAACTCCAAACAGTATCCGCTGGAATGGCTTGCTTCATTGCTTGCTTGTAGCTCTTGAATGTCGGGGGACTTTATGAGGGTCCACTTTTTGTTGACCTCGTTAGAAGGATTTCATCCCGAGACAATCGCAGAATCGATTATTATCAGTGATAAGGTATAATGTTTGTTCGTGACTAGCCATTCAATGACCTGCCAACAAGTCCACGCCAGAAAATCAGCGACTCTTTGGGTAGTCCTCTTCGGAAGCTGACCAAGGGAATCAACGCGTGTAGCCGTTGTGTAATCATTGTCATCATCATCATCGACGGACAGCATACATCAATGCACAGGAAATCCGGCGTACGAGCAAGAGTCACCTGTTGACCTGCTTGCTGCAGAGTGTGGACATTAAAGCTGGCTAGGTAGACAGGCTTTCGGGATTGTACTAATTATGCTTGTTGAGTTTCCCGATACGGAACTTCGAGTGACGCGTAGGTTCAGCGTGTTTATTGCTGAGTAAAGAACGGAGGTTGCGGCAATCTGCAACCTTTTTTGCTTCACAGAGTCTGTCGATTGGTCTATTGATAAATCCACAATCAAGCGATGCCTACTTTTCGCTTAGCTTATTTACATAGCGAAGTTGGCACATTCATCAGAACAGTGATTCACCGCTAGTTACACAATAGTAATGATAATAATCATTCAGCTGTAACGCTCTATCGCTTCTTGGCTACCATACCATCCGATGGAGGCACGAGATATGACGTACTGCCTGGGTGCCCAAGCTGAGTCAGAATCAGTTGAGGTGTGGAGGTTGAGTTCGAAACACAGCTTCCGGTCAGAAAGTTTGTGCCTTGACCATTTAGCAGAGCTCTTCTCGCCCAGCCCTGTGCTGAGTGGAAGCAGCCGAGAGGTGGACAGTGTATGGTTTGTCAACGAAGTATGAAAACACTAACCAGTAAACTCGGTCGGGTGGACAACTGCCGCCTCCCTGGATGGGGACCCCGGGACTTAACTTATCGATGGTTAGTGACACTGGCAGAAATGGCCCAATCGCGCAAGCAGCGGTGCTGTTGTATCGAAGCTATTGCCTTCACTATGTAGCTACCCGATTCTCGAACATGCCATCACCTCCAAGGCTTGGCCATATCTACCGCACTCTCGCACTTTCCGGTGTTCGAAACTACGGTAGATGGAGCCAATGTGCCTATGGTACACGATTTATAGCTGACAAATTGATTATTTATTTATTTATTTAATTATACTTAATGCCTTTAGTTGGCAAGAAAAGAGTGATTGAGGGACCGACCTAACGTTAGCCTGCGGTAGCGTGCCTGCACTTCCGAGCGCTCAATCAGACAATCTGGAAAGAAGCTGACAGCAGGACACTGATATTGATCAGACAATCTGGAAAGAAGCTGACAGCAGGAACGCCACTGATATTGATCACTCGCCATTTCTTGCAATGTCTCCAGCCAACCAACCTTGATCTTCTGATGTAATTATTCGGCCAATATACGACAGTGGTTTCCACGTTTGCCGTTTGTATCCCTATTACAACCCGACTGCTACAGAGTCCGTGATACTTAGATTAATGGCTACAACTGACCGTATGGGTTGCAGCTGATTCTTAAATTCTTATCTGGGTTATCTGTATTTCTAAGACCTCATTTTAAGAAATTACTGCGAGCTGGTTCTTGCTGGGCGAACGTGCTCATCTAGCCTCGTGCAAATGTGGTGAACAGACCCCTCTTGTGGGTATATTAATCGAACAAAATCAGGTCAAAGACGTATTTGGTATAACCTGCCCACAACGAACTCTAGCTGGCCTTAGTAGCCATCATCTATACCCCTCACATCTCAACTCCTCTACTGCAGCTCCCAGGAAATGTCGGGAAGTCGCCACAGTTCTTGAGGACGCAACCGTATCATTAGAAGACGAGCCGGGGATTTCCTTTGTCGCCCGCGATCAAATAATCCAATGTGGCGCTTAATTCCAATCTATTCGATGCCCACTGTTTGCTACATATGACTACGAATTCCGTACACAATCATATATCCATGCGTCATTTCCTCTTATATTCTACACAATCCGTTCCAACACATCAGATTTTCTGCTCGGTTACATTTTGATCCCGCTTGAACGAACATATATATATATATATATGTTTGTCCGACAATTTAGCCGCATACATTAGTAGGTTCATTGTTTTTTTCCAGGTGTGCATTTTTTCATTCTGCTCTCACATTCTTATTATTCCTCGTGTATTTCAACCCTCACTTTTGTTTTACCGCTTGATTATATGCTCCTTAAGCGTTGAATGGTAGTTTGAAATTGACCTTGGGATCATTATCAGATGTTGTACGGTGACATGGATTGCTGATGAATTAGCAGTTTACCAGTCCCTTATGGTTTCATTTAGGACAAAACTGTTTGAGCGAACATACGGTCTTCAGTATCTCACCTTCTGGCTCCAGTTTATCCATGTAAGGCAGATAACACCGATCGAAATGCGGTCGAGTTCACTCATGCCAAAGAGTGACATATCGAATGACTGACCTCCACTCGGTCTGTGTTGTTCTATACGGTGAGTCTGTCAATATGTGTTCTGTCGTGGCAAACACATTTGAATTTTGCTGACCCCATCACCAGTGTCGCTTAACCGAGTACGCTGACCGGTTCCAACCTAGTTGTTAGAGGTGATTTTTTCTCCAGGCTTACGTGCTGGAGGCGCTTAAAAAAAAACGTATCAGAGACAACTCAAGATGCGACCACAGTCATTGGCCTAACCGCCCAATCATTTCCCAGTAACCTTGGTCTGCGCAACTCTGGCAATCCAGAGGCCGCTGCGGTCGGCGTGGCTATAAATCAACGGACAGAAGTCTTGTTTGACTGGATACCCATTGGTAGTCGCATGTGTGCAATTCATCTGGCAACCTCTGTGAAGGAATCTCACAGGCGAGCAATTGATCGTTGTTTGTTTACCGTATCTGCTTATGTCCCAATTGACTGCAGCTCTGACATCATCAAAGAAAACTGTTATGAAGCCTTGAGTGCCCTGTCACGGCAGCTCAAGTTCAGGGATATGCCGCTTTGACGCCATAAGTGGCAGTGATGTTCAAAACATATATGCACAACAAGTGGACGAATGTGTAATATGTCAGATGAACACGAGATTACTCAGTGGTTAAGGTGTGAACTTACAAACGAGGTTACGAGGTTCGCACCCGAACTCAAAATCTCGACAGTTATTGTCTAAGTTTGGGCAGCCTGGTAGTATCTCACCCCAGATTCTTCCTTTCGGTAGCATGGCAGCGCGATTATTTATTATTCCTATTACTAATATTATTATGTCTGAGAAACCAATAGAGTGGATTATTCATAAGATTATTCCTGATTCATAGACTAGAAGTTAATCAAAAATCAGTCAGTTTGAAGTAGTGGTGTTAAAAACGAGGCGAAAAAGGGACTCAGTGGCCGACAGCTTTCAAAACCTCATACGGGGGAGGAAAACTTTGTTTGTTAGTGGAACCGAGGGATATCTGGCGTCAAATAGTATGAAGACACCAAGAAATTTACGTGCGTGTGAGGAGAGTTGGTAATTTTGAAGTAGCTTTCATCGAGTAAGTAAAGCCAATCTGTGCTGAGAATCACAGATTGTTGTTTCGTCCCCACGTGAGATCAGCAGTAGAGCGCATCGCACGAAACTTTGGGGTATCCAACCCTGACTTCATTGCTCTTAGTTTGAACCCAACCATTCAGCAACAAGTAGCTGATCAGCAGTTAGATGAATTCGCAACTGGAGTTCCATCGGAGAAGCCGTCCGTCAAGAGGCCAGTCTGCACATGTGACCGCTTGATATGGATTCCCAGAATGAAGGATGAACGGCGCTATATTCTAAATGTTATCTACTCACACAGCTGTTCAGCCACTTGTAAACAAACGGTCAAGTGTTCAGCCAATGGCTGGAAAATCGCGTGTCCGAAACCCCACTAGTTTCATGAGATGCGCACTGTCGACGATTTTGAGTAGAGATTAAACAGCTGTATGTGTTTCTTGGCTTTTCAGCGTGAATTAGCTTCAATTATTGGATGTAAGCTCCATTAAGAAATGTCCCTGCATGAATCAGCTTGAAATTCTTTGGCTGGGATTTTCAAGCAGTTTGATGAATAGTTGGAATTAAGGAACACCATGTCCCTGCCCCACACTGACCTCACGAACTGCAGACAGCTTACTTATAACACATGTTTTCGTTATACCAAATTTATCCGTTTGTTATTCGTCTCAATCAAAGCTGATGGAGAAAACTTGTAACTGTGGCTTATACATGCCAAAGCTTCCTAGAAGAAAACAACTTGAGTTGTGTATATTTCTCTGGCGAGTGGCTCAGTGTGGCAATCCGGTAATCCAATTTCATGAACTTGGGAGCAACACAAATGTGGCCCCAAAACAGTCGTGTTTACTTACATCAAAACCATTTCTTGAATGAGCGAATTGCGGAAGCTTAATTGTGTTGAATTTCCCAATACGGAACTTTAGTTGCGCGTTGGTCCGACGATCCAGAATATCAAAATGAATTCTAGAGGTGCCGTTTAAACAAAAGTTAACAACGTTATACAACAGACCTCAATGGTCCACGTTCGTGGCGTCAAAACGTGTGCAAGCCTGTCGATGACCGGCACAGTGTAGTGTCAAGTTCCGTTGACCAGACAACGGCGAGTGGAATCGTGGCTCGGTAGTACGGTTTATGGTCATTCATTCCGAGGTCAATCTCGTCATTCTGAGTGGACGATCACCCAACGCACGCCAAGTACTATGGCCCGAGACCGATTTCGTGATTCTGAGTGTCGGTGCGATCACACAGGAATCACGATAGAACAGGGCTTGCATGATGAGCTGCGCACTTTCACACACATGGGCTAATAAATCAGTGTCGCGGATTCACTGAAGTGGGCGCACCGGAAATTTCGTGATATTTCACTTTGGTTTGTACTATTGTCGCCAAAACTAACACGCACCTGGGGTGGATTGGTACGAAAAAACCGTACTCTGGTTAGCTAGCCAAATCTAGCCGAGGTTTTTGTCGACTGGTGGTGTGAAAACCATACTCAATTGTGAAAACTATCGACAAGTTATCATGAAGAAGCTCGCTGTGTCGTGCCTGTGACTAAACTGTACAACTTCATTGTAAACAGCCTGACTGGTTGCTTCAAACGGTACATAGAAACTACAATGTCAGTGGCCAGAATTTGCTGCTCAGGAATTCACCCAGTGCGGTGACGTGCAGCTGTGTTGTTTCCACTTCACTGTGAGTTTTCCCACTGGCCTGCTCCACATTACTATTTCAGGCGCCTGAGTGAGCTGATTTCTCGACCGTCTCGGCTTACAGTTACCTAAGGGCAGCAGTCGTTGGTATGACTTTTTCAGACATGGATTTACTGTTCGCGTCAGTGTCGTTCGAACTTGACAGCGTCGATCCAGGTTCAGTAATTTCAGGTATTATTTCAGAAGCGGTCTGCTGAGGTTCCCGATACGGAACTTGGAGTTGAATAGTGAAGAGCAGGGTATACGCTGTGTTATTGAGATCCATACCGCTTTGTGGTTTAGAAACGTGGCATGTACGAACGAGATGTTGGACCATTGATGTATTTAGAGCATTTGACGGGTGTGAAGGAAACATCGGACTACCAATGCTGAGGTATGTCAGATGGTTTCAGGGAAAAGTAACTTCCTCCAGACCCTTGGTGGCTGATTTGTTATCCGAACTTGGAAATTAGCTTGCAAGCAGACAAACGACCACTTGATCAACCAACAATGAACGCACCCGAGCTACCAATATTCCAGTACATTGCACGCCAGAGCACCTTCTACCTCGCTATCCAAGTCTCATCCAAGTGGAAGCTACCAAAGTGGACAGTCTACAGTCTGAGAGCGAAGTGTGAAGGAGGTAACCAGTTAGCTCTACCAGCTTTCTGGTTCGGGACCCCGAGACTCAACTCGCCAGGGGTTAGTGACACTGGTGGACGTTTAAGTCACGCAATCAGTGGCACTATCTTATCAAAGCGATCGTCTACAATGCGTAGTGGACCAGCTTCCCTCAAATAACTAGATTGGTCCAATAGCTGAGTGTGCCATCGTTTCCAAAGTTTGTCTATATCTCCTCTGCTCTTCCGTTTTCTGGTGACCAAAATTGAGGCGTCTGGAAGCAACGCACGCTTCGTACATGGTTTATATCCGATAAACTGAGCTGCAAACCAGACAGATGAACAAAGCAAAGTGAGTTGTAATCCAGCGTTCTTTCGTGAAATACCTCAATAAAAAATCGGCTTATTCCCCCATTTACTTGGAGGAAAATGTCTACCTAAAAAGGACAAATTCAACAGAAAAAAGAGAAGGCGACCATGACATATGACCCAATATTTATAGAGGTGGCCGCTCTATATGGAAGCTATACACTAGGTGACTTGCGGTCCAGAGCTCTGCGATCGGTTACGCTACTCACGTACCCGATGCCTTAATTCCTTTTAAGGTTCTAACAGGAAGAATGTAGGGAATTAACCAGGAAGAAACAAGAGAGTCTCAATTTTCATGAAGAAACTACTCATGAGGTTGCTGAAAACTTGAAAGCTTAACACGTGTTGGCTGTTTTTGGTTCGCCCATTTGCAAGTATGGGATGGTACCAGAAAGGATAGAAAATCTCACGGACATGATGGCGTTTATCAGTAAGTCGTCCAGTTCTATCCGGTTATTCATGTCAATAACTTAACCCGTAATTTTCTTCCTCTGAATGTCAAGAATCTTCCAGGTTCTCGTCAGTCACTATCGGTACTCAAGTGTTACGACAAGGCGAAATAACGTGTGCCCGGACAAAGAATTATCGTCAACGCTATAGACTTATTGTTCACTCCATTTGTAAAACTTCGATTTCTACAAGGAACGAAAGACATGATCAAACAAAATTTATAGTGCTTCTTTCGGATGAAGGAGGCCAAAAGGCCTGGAAAAATATAAGTCATCCAAAATCGATCCGGTAAATAACATCTCGTTCGATGAAAGAACGGTGAAGGTAGGCAGAGAAGCGGTCGGGAACCCAAAAGTGATCTAAATACATCTCACCACATATGTACACTGAATAGGATGGCCAAATAAACGAATAAATGAATGTACATAAATCAAATGGCAGTGGGAGAGTAAATTAAAACAGATGACATGAAAGAAACTTATCAGTCCGATGTTGGGCCGGTGAGTGCAGGTAGCGGGATAGGCGCAGGTAAGGCTAACATATCGGGGCGGCCGATGAGAGCTTGTGGTACAAAAGGGGCATCTAAAAATTGGTCAAGTAGGTGACGTTCAACATCATCTACCATTTCCTCGATGAAAACGTGTTCATCTGCCGAAACGGGTCTCGCTCCCAAAACGTCCACATACATGTCCGGTATTGAGGTGATGATTGTGCACAGCGGAAACAAGCGGCGTAGACGAGTCACACTATGCAAAGGAAGTTCGGCACAGAACGAAATGTCCAACAGACGAAGACGTGTGCAACCGCTTAGCACCATGGCAACGGCTGTGCTGTTCACATTGGCAGATCCGTGAATGTCCAGTTGTTCTAAGGTGGAACAGAGACGCTGGCCAACGAAGGTCAGTTCTTCGGAATTCAACAGGCTACACAATGGGAGGTGAAAAAATAAGGAGGTTGGTAACAAAGTATGTTGGATGAGTGGACAAAAGTGCAGCTGATAAAAATTGGCGGTTGAGAACATCACTAGAATGATGGAAAACAGAAACGTAATTGACGTAAGCAGATAAGATAACGGCGCCTGTCCGGCGCTGATCAAGCGGTGGTGGGTCCAGAAAGCTGAAGAAGGCAGCTAAGGAACGAAAGGGTGTTACAGCTAAACGAGAGAACTGGGTTATCAACTGGACTCCGTTTTACTCAATTGGGCCTTTTCAGAGACTGTCCGGTTTTAACTATACACTAGACGCACGTAACCATGAGGTTTACAAGCGTTACAACATTGGACTACCTCCAGCACAACGTAAACGTGAGTAACAAAGAAGGTAAGACAAACCTTGTCCCGGTTAGATGTAATTTTCGAATCCGACCACAGTGCTGGACCAGATGTACGATACAATTGCTCTCTTGTGTCAGTGCAATGTTTCGACACCAACCCAAGTCCAGTTCCTCCAACAATGGGCAGGAGCGGGCCAGGTAACTGACACCCACCGCAGAAACAGTCACGCAGCGCCAAAGATTGACGGAGATGAGACCACTAGGAATACAAACGAAAGGGAACAACATGCGAGAGATCAATAGCGTGGTAAGAGAGGCACGTCAGAAGCGCTCTAGAAAGTGAAAGTATCTACTCCCGCACCACGTTGATTGACTAGATTCTGCAGCCTTAGTTTGACCAATGATGAAGAGGCATTGCGCTTACCAGGATATTAAAGTTATATATTCGTACGCCTCCGGATGTTCATTCACTACGCACATCGTTTGTTCGATGCCCAACTTGTCCGCTAAGTCGTCGCCGTTGGCGTCCAACCAGAGCCGGGCAGCATAAGCAGAATATTTGCTGACTCAAGGTGAATTCGCCACCTTTTTACGGCTCCAAATAGCATGCTGGCAAATTTTTAGTGCTTCGTCGGGTCCCCGTTCACAGTAAAACCATGCCATCCAAAACTAATCGATACATCCAACATCAACAGGGTTGGGTACAGTGGTTAGCGTATCTAGTCCGATAGCTGTGGTGTGAATTACCGTTGTTGTGCTGTGTACAGACTCAGGTCGAGCCCGTACTGATACGTTCTGTGAACACGTGCGCGAATTCGGGTTAATCTCATTCACACTACATCCGAGGTCTTGATGATTGATTACTACTGGGTTGAATAGACTTTACGACCTCTTGACCGACATCCAACTGGACTAGAGATACTGTACCCGTTGAGAACACTAATATCAGTCCAGGCATGTAGGAGCCAATGTTTTTAAGACCACTGTTTAGCGGATCATCGCCATATCCCTGGTTTGGAAGTGCGCTCTTATAGACCAGGTGGACTTGAATCCATCGGATACCAGGCGAATTTATAAGCATTGTGGTAGGAATTCTTACTCTAAGATATGACCACTAGATAGAAGTCATCTTAGTTAGTTGCTTCAAGTGCAGCGGTAAACTATATATATNAACCGGATTGGCCAAAACAACCTTGACGTGCAAGATGACCGAGTAAACGGAGGAGAAACATGCTGGCAATTGAACAGCAGAAAAGGTATCTGAGTCAGAGAACAGCTACCACAGATTAACGATTCGGTTACCAGGCGCGGACAGTCTGGGTGAGTGGGGAGAAAGTCTTGGTAACTGGGGTCGTCCACTGTGTCACCGACCCTGTTTCCCCGACGGACCATCCATTGAGACAGTTCACGAAGATTCATGGGCTAGTAACCTCTCGAAGACGGAAAAACAAAAAGACTTACGTATTGTTTCGGGTCAGGTTATCCAATACTTGATTCATATCCTGAACGTTCGTGCACGATCCCAAATTGATGTGACACAGGTGTTGGCATAACTCAGCTAAACTTAACAGACCGTCATCAGCGATCTGGGTTCGATACAGAGATAACCAGTTGAGCTGAATCAGCCGACTCAAAGCCAAGAACCCGTGCGAAGTGATACCCGTGCATGAGGAAAGATCCAATTCTATAAGGGAAACAAAGACAGAGACCTCATTGATCCAGTGCTATCACATTGCAGCGAAAGTCCGGAGGAACCTGTTTGGCTAATCGAGTTTCTAAAAACATTGCAGTAAAGTGCGCTGCAGTGCTGAATACCCTCAAAGAGCAAATGAGTCAGACTTTCGGAGAAGAGCCAATAAGCTTAATCAGTGAATAACACGGCCGACAGATAGATTCCGTGCAGCTTTTTCGTACAACGTTCCCATTCTAAAGAGCTATATGGATTTTTAAAACTATTGGCTATATCTCGCGATGGAGTGACGGAAACGCGGTCAGGGAATAAATCACAGTCATCGGAAAACAAACCAAAACTTGGAACAGATTGAGGAGTCATCGTTTTGGTAACAATCGGTAGATTTATTGCTGGGCAGCGTTTTCCTTTTGACACCAAAGCTTCGTCAGGCCAAGTGACTAGGATCCGAGGTTGATCGAGATTTAAGGCGGAAGGAGAAGCAATCAACTAAGTCAAGTTAAATCTTTGTTGGGTGTCAGTCGAGGGATTTTTGTGTGTTTGGGTGGGTAAACAAGTGTTGGGCCGATGGGGAAACTTACATGTGTTTGGGTCCAGCCTAGGGTCTAGTTCTTCTGGTTCGGTCCACTTGATGATCCCGCTTGAACGTCTGTGCGGATGAGCTAGTGCTAAGATAGTTGTGTAAGAGGGATGCTGTGAACTTTGGTTCAAGGGGCCTTGCGGTATTTAAAGCACACTTCTGAACTTGATCTAGGCTGTCTGATAGGCGTTGGGTGAACACCCATGATCATCAGCGTGCTTCAATGAAATGCCTGAACACCCATCACCATCATCGTCATCATTATCATCATCTTCATCACCGGCCGTGCTTCTGTAGCATGTTTGGAAACCCATCATCGTCGGCAGTTGTTGAACTGATTAACTGCTTGAGCGCCCAATCGGCAACTGGCCTTTATGGCCCAAATACCTGACGGCCTCTCTACTGGGACTTTGGTGGGGCTTGACGGTCACAGTAGGTTTCGGACATTTTGGGATTATTTTCAGGAATCTAACCTTCTTGACGGTCTCCAGACTTTGAGGCATCGAATAATCAGTGCCCCATATTGCTTGATTATGAACTATGTTTCTGTTTTTTTTCCGCGATGGTTTGCGGAATTTCGTTTACTGGGTCAACTATAACTGGGTGCAGGGAGCAAACGCGTTATGGTAGACTCCACTCCAAATCACATCTAGGGGGCGAAGTGACTCAGTGGTTAGAGAGAGAATTTACTGACAAGAAGGTCCGGGGTTCGAATCCGACCTCTGCATATCGACTTCTCCTGTCTAGGCTTGGGCAACCTGACAGTATTCCAGCCCTCGTGCTTTTTTTCGGGTGGCATGGCAGCTAGCCAATGAAAGGGTGTTACAGGTGAAGATCGTTCACAGGAGTGCTTTGGGGTTGCGCTAAGTAAATATACAAAAAATAAAATCATTCAGCTGACTTCACGAAATCCGACTCTAGTACGTTCTCGAGCTTGAATCAGGGGAAAATGGGATAACGCAATAATTAGGAAGTAGAATAGCTATGTGACCCTTTGACTCCAAAGACGAACTACGATAGGTCAATAAGAAACGTCGGCTGTTTTAGATGTCTACGACTCCATAACTTTTTTAAACGGTAGTTAAGCCATGTATGCCTAACTAGAATTCACCACTACATGTGTCTTTTGAGTAATGTTCAAACCTTGGAAGCCTCACAGAGAGTAGTCATGGTGAAGTGACTGCATATCGACTTCTCCTTTCAAGGCTTGGGAAACCTGACAGTATTCTAGCCCTCGTGCTTTTTTTCGGGTGGCATGGCAGCTAGCCAATGAAAGGGTGTTACAGGTGAAGATCGTTCACAGGAGTGCTTTGGGGTTGCGCTAAGTAAATATACAAAAAATAAAATCATTCAGCTGACTTCACGAAATCCGACTCTAGTACGTTCTCGAGCTTGAATCAGGGGAAAATGGGATAACGCAATAATTAGGAAGTAGAATAGCTATGTGACCCTTTGACTCCAAAGACGAACTACGATAGGTCAATAAGAAACGTCGGCTGTTTTAGATGTCTACGACTCCATAACTTTTTTAAACGGTAGTTAAGCCATGTATGCCTAACTAGAATTCACCACTACATGTGTCTTTTGAGTAATGTTCAAACCTTGGAAGCCTCACAGAGAGTAGTCATGGTGAAGTGACTGATAATTCTTACCTCTGAGTAGCGGACATGTATTCACAATGTAAAGTAGGCAATCGTCGTTGAGAAATTTGCAACTGGCTAATCTTAATGTTGTCAACTGACGACAGGCATCACCCAGAAAATCACCGAAGGCGACCGGACTAATCTGGAATCAAGTAGGAGGAAAAACAGCAGTCAGTAAAGAGGGGGTTGTGGAAGATGCTGGTGGTCGACCATAAGCAAACAAATGAGGAAGCTTGGTTCACAAGAATTTACACTGTTTTGTAAGTGGTCTTTTGGTGTCCACAGTTTCAATGGACATGAATTTCAGAAGAGCTATGCGCGCTCCATGCACTTGTGGTTTTCTTTCGGTGGCGCAAAACCTACTAAGACCACAAGGTCTCCATAATCTCAGGTTCCCCTGCATGAAAACGAGGGCAGTCGGAAAGTCGGTGATGAGTTGTAATGGTAAGCTCTAATCTGTCATTCAGGGAGAACTGCTCAGCGTACAGGGGCCTTAGGTGGTTCATCGATCCAAACTCAGCTACAAGAATATGTTATATAATAAAAAGTTTGAAACGATTGAGAAAATTTTCCACTGTATTTCCCCCTGTTTGTCTTTTTAAAGTCGTTTAACCTGGACTTTATCGTTAGGGTCCCATCAAGAATACATAGGGCGAAGCATCGAAGGAGGTCCGTAGAAAGAAAAAAAGGATATTCAAAGTACTCACTGCAGAATAGTTACCACACCAAGACATATCAAGTCGTCTTAGGCGGCATGGAGGAAATGCCTCACAGTAGGCGTCGTAAAAATTGGCGGTTGAGGGACGGAGTACATTTGATTTTTCTTGCCTTTGTTCTTCACCAGGGATCACCAGAAATGTCTCACATAGCGGATTCTCAGCGTTACATGGTTCTCCACTCAGTTCACCTTGGGAATTGGCGTGATCGGTTTGAATGATTCGACCTGATGAAGTGGCAGTCGTGGCGCTAGTACTCCAGCTGCGAATTCGGGCGGCTAGTTGACGACCCCTTTTAACACGTCCGTGCAGCTCATGGTTGGATTCAGTTTCTTCTTGTGCAAGACGACGCAGAAAATTGAACGGAGCGACGGAATTACCGGTCGTTGCGGCGGCAGCCGCCCTGGCCGTTAAGTTCACACGACCCAGGCGCTTTCCAAGACTAAGCAATCCTGAGTCGTTTAGTCCGGGCCAATAGGCTTGCAAATTAAGACTAGTCAGCTGAGCCAAGGCATCGTCGGCGAGACATCGGAACTGTCTGGAAGAGATAAGAAAACAAAGTGAGACAAGTGGGAAGTGAACACCCCACATTAAAAGGATTTGAACAGTATGTCGCAGTTCGAACGTATTAGTGAACAGTCATTCGTCGCCTCAAGAAACACTAATGTTCCGAAGCTGTATGAGTTCAGTAGAGATTCTCTCATTGTCCGCGAAAGTGGCCAATAGTGTATTTAAAATTAAAAAAAAAACGCTGTAATTTGAGAACGCATCACTGGTGATTTCTAAAACTGGAGGATTTCCGAAAGCTCAACGAACGCCATTACAAGAGAGCGGAAAGAGGAGCTAAGTGACGATGTTAAAATTGTGGTGACGTCATGGGGACAACAAAACGATAGTTTAATAACTGATTTCCAAGTCCACCGATCGATCATCGGATTAATTCGCTGCTGTAATTCATAAAACAACTGGAGCGAATGCAAATCAAGGATCATCCGAGTCAACAATGCAGATAAACAGCAGGAGCACTGCGATCGATCAGTGGTAGGCCGACAAATGCAACTAAAAACCTAATCAGTCAAACCCGATCGAGCAAGCAATGCAGGGCTCAGGATGGCATGTAGCAAGGCGAACTGAGTGCTTTTTCAAATGATTTCGAGGGATCACGATGCACCTCTTCTTAGAGAGGGCACTTCATTGGAACGCACTATGTGAACGCTCAAATCTTGTGGTTCCATAGGATTCCTATGCAAAAATATGACGACATTTTGAAGAATAAGTATCCGTTGTGCAAGAATCCTAAACTACGCACGAGCAGTTGGACAATCGGTTTTATTGGTTCGGTTTGCTCCGAAATTGTTTGAGAATTATCGTTGAGATGTAACAACTTTCGGTGCCTACTAACCATGCTATCCGGAGGACGCACAAGCGCTGATATTGCCTACGCCTAAATAGGAGCAGTCATGAATTATACATATTCTGCGGCGAATTTCCGGTTCCAGTGCCCTTTGTATCATCGCCCAAAACAAATTTTGGGAGTGCTAATTGTGCAAGAGCAATACTGAAAACTGTTGAAACAAGCTCAATGGCTGTTCTGGTGAGGTTGTGCAACATCAGTTTGGGAGTGCGCAAGTAGTTTACGAAGGATCCTGGTGAAAGAAGGAAAAGCCTTCGCTGCGATGTTATTTATTGGCAAAAACAAACTAAATGGTTACAAGCGATTAGACACGAAGGTAAACATCTCATATGCACAAAGTTTCTACAAACTGAACATTCTCAAGCGTACTTTTGAACTTTCTTGGACATTAACTGACTATTAACCAAAAACAAACGAACACTGAGAAATGGTCCCATAATTTCCTGATCATCTTCACCTTCCATTAGATGTGGGGATGAAGTTTAGACAACAGACCATAGACTACTCACGTGCTTCACTGGTAGTATACACCGTTGCACCAGTATTACTCATTGCCTGAATCAAACACGTTTAATTGCCCCAGAAAAGCTGTACGTTTATCGTTTGTCAGCATTCCCTGTGCCACTGAGAATGATCTACTAAGATTCATAAACATGTTGGCCAAAGTTGGCCAATTCTTCTCCTATCCTGGCAGAATTATCCTCCGGTCTAAAAGAGGAAGCTTCTTGCATTACTCTCTTTAGACCGTATATACTTCACGTATTTTTTACCCCGCAACATCATCATCATCATTGTCAGCTGTAATAACTGCGTACTTGTCGTACAGTGGTTGTAGCTGCCACAGTCGTTCACCAATGAGCAAACAAAGTGCGAAATGGTGAGCGTATTTTGATGCTCACTCGTAGAAGCCACCATATCACCAAACTGTGACTGAAACAGGCCTTTCCAAAAACGCATTTAACTGTGCGTAATCTTTCTAAACTACTGTAAATGTGGACAAGTATTCGGAGATTTTACTACCGCACAATAGAAATTTATGCAAGACCTAGGATCCCCTTAGGCCAAGGCCTGAGAACATCATGAACGAGAGATTCAGCTGCGTTCCAGGTGAGTCTCTCGAAAAACCAAATTAGTTTGCAAATGAGTGTATATTCGCTGATCCCATGCAATTTGGTTTCAAGTAGAACATAAGTTTGACGGAAGCCCGCGAACTGCGCCTACCTGATGAGCCCCGAAAAAAGCGAAACCGGTCGTGGGCTGTCGACCGATTTTCAGCAACCTTACGAGTAGTACATTACAAGGTCACGGAATGGTTTTTCGCTGACAAAAAAGGCCACCTTGATAGACGTGATTGTCATCAACATTATCATCGACACCGATGATTTAGTTGAAAGCCTTACTAGGAAGAAAAGAATAGAAGCGGATGGAGAAGGGACTTGGTGCTAACCTATCACATTCATTCCGAGATGCCTACACCTGCAGACACTCATTCAGGCAATCTCGATAGAAACAACCAAGCCATTGACATCAATTAGCCTCTCCAACCGAGGGCTTCACAAATTCAAGTACTCATCTATGGATTGAGATAGGATGGAGATGGACAGGAGATAGATTAGGTTAACTGAATGTAAGTGAGTATACAAAAAGAACCTCTAACAATACAGAATCAAAACCGGCAAAACTTAGAATATCTATTAAGTCACACACCGTACAAAAAATTCGCAAGATGAACTGTGTGAATGTGAGTTATCAGTGATAGTTGTAACTGGAGCATCATGGATTCATAGTGGACAATATCGCTCAACAGCAGCGTGATGTGAACGAGTCTACAAACCACGGACTTGGTTACCGCAGGAGCGTCTTAGCGTCGCGGGTTATCTTAGCCATTCGACATATCCAGAAGTTCCTGAAATGATGAGAAATATAAATTTTGTGCCTTGGTTTCACGGACTCGATTGTGCAGAGCAAGATGGCCGATTCGGTTGACACACACATGACGCAGATGACAACATCGTTCTTCAATTCCGGAACAGCATTTCAACATCAAGTTCGTGCATTTCCTGGTTGACCAAGTCGCTCGATGGAGATCTTCGCCTGTTTACAAGCAAACTGATGAGATGATTGTTTTCACTACCGGCGCCAGTCGGTTGGGAATGGATGAGTTGTATCACCCTGGCAGTTTTGTGGGTGCACATAGTGGAGGCTGGTATGCGATTTTCGTAGCCATAGCCTTTTAAGTTGCTTTGGTCAGAACAAATCTCTTCACTGTTACATGTCCGAAAATAAACCGCAATGTCTTTTCCATGCAGAGCAATCATGTGAATAGTTCTAACCCAATTCCATATAAATGAGGCAGTGTAGCATTTCAGTCCTTTTAGCCTTGATCGGTAACATCACGTGGATAGACAAACCAGCTGATTTATTTGAACGGCACCTAGTGACCGATCGAAGGGTCAGAAGAACCGCTGGCTCATGTCGTTGCAAAGGTATGCTGCACGGTAACTGATGCGTATACCTGTCCACAATCTCTTTTACTTTGTTCTCTACGTCTCAATTCAACTGCCATATTCTGGCGAAGGAGCAGCTTATCACAAGGCTTACCAATGGGGCTCATGGTCAGCCATACCTATAACTTGTTCTGTTACCTGCGGCCGTGGACTGCGATGTCGCGTACGTAAATGTCTGGATGGTTATGGCCGAGAGGCGCCAGATACACGTCGATGTCAGAACCCAGAAGACTTTATGTCCAAGGCTGAGATGTGTACCGTGTGTGAGGTGCGCGCTAAGTGTCCTACTCTACCGAATTGGGGAGCTTGGAGCCCATGGAGCTCGTGCATCCCTAAAGAGACTAGAGACAAACGACCAGAAGAGCGCTGTTTGGAGGGCCTAAGGGTTCGAAATCGGTTGTGCAACAACCCACCGCCGGAACCACCACCCTACGGAGTGCCGTGTAGCGGTTCGGCTAATCAAACGATGGAGTGTCGTCATAATTGTGATGATAGACCAGTGTTCGAGCCAAATGATATAGTAAAACAAATCCAACTGCGAGTCGAAATGGACCATCGTAAGGGTCTACAATCATTCAGACAGGTGAGGCGAGTGAAAGTTGGTCAGTCCGTTCGCATGAGTTGTGCGACACCTGCCTTCAAACTAGCCAAGAAGTTAATTGTCACCGAGAGGTTTGCACCGGAAAAAAGAGGAATGGAAGGCAGTGAATTAGAGGTACGTTGGTACAAAAATGGTATCCCATTAGAAACTGAAGACGATGAAGTGGAGGCAAATAAAATTCGAAAGAAGCCTAAACGCATAGCTGCGACGGAAGTTCACGAATTGCTCCATGAACAATTACGATGGGAATCGCTGCTGCCATCGACGGTTCCTAGATTGCACGACTTTGGCCTCGAGTTTACCAGCATAAGGGAAGGTGACCAAGGATTGTATACGTGCGAGATCCATTACGCTCGCTACAGGTGGATGACAATCTTCTACAGTCTGACAGTTAGAGGGGTGCGCTATGTATCACAAGGCACAGACCCGTTCTACCTACACTCGAACTTGGGGGTGACAAACGCACTGAGTACAGCGTCTGTGTGGCTCGAGGCAGCACAAATAGTGTGGAAGCTTAACGGACGAGTTCGGCTTCGTGGACTTATTTCGAGACCCACAAGGCGCATACAACTCTTAGAAAAATTAAACCGCACTCAAGGTGGGACCTGGCAATGCTTTCTGGTTATTCCAGCAGCTGGACCGTCTTCTAGAGTGAGCAAACCGGCAATTCGCGTGTCCGGAACGTATCTCATTAACGAATTTGAGTTGAGGGTTGATCCACCTCAAGATCACCTGTGGCACATAGCGCAGAATCCGGCAAGCATTCGAATTCTACGAAACATTGTTGTTACATTAGGAATTATGTGCCTATTTCTATTTTGGTTTCTACTGCTTACTATATGGGCAGCGAAGCGTTGGGTCGGACGAAGTCTGACGGTGTTACAGAAAAAAACAGTCGTGCAGGAAATTCTAGATAATGAAAGTCGTCTCTTACTGACGTGTAGAAAACGAGCGACAATCAATCGAGAACGCCTGATGCCATTTCTGACACACGAACATGAGCGACTTACACGTGCAGCCGCACATCTAAATGAACGGTTTGTCCCATCACTCGGAGACGAAGAGCTAGAGTCGGAGGAAAATGATAAGGGACACGGAACTATTGGAAGCATGTTTGGCCGTGGTATTAGCAGAGTGTCGACAATGTTGAGAGGAGTGGGTTCAATTCGTTTATTTGGAAGTCAAAAAGGGAGTATCTATAAGCGGCGTGAATCACAAAAATCCACGGGTGAGCTATCAATGACGAATCGAGTGGAGATACTAAAAGGACTGTTTGGAGGTCAAGCAGATGGGGAACAAGCCACACGCAATTCGGTCGGTGAGGTGAAGAAAGCTAATATCAAAAACATGTTTTCCTTGATGGGTGCGCAAAAACGGCCAGTGAGAAGAGGAACAGCCATGGTACCTACATTCAAAATGGGGGAAGAAGACCACGACACCATGGTGACAGCGGGAAAGTAAAGTTGAGCGGATGACAATGACTGTCTAAATTTGGCCTTTATACTCCCAGCAACCATTGTCTTTGTTTTACGCATGATGTGTTCTGTCAAGCCCAGTTTGCGGAAAAACTTTGGGGAAACACACTAGTCAACGCACAAAAAAATCTAAAAAACGCACCGTGCTAAAATTACACGTGAAGCGCATGTAAGGGCAAGAGCGTGAAAAGCGTGATCAAGCTTGATTCCGCCAGCACTCCTTTTTCGTCGGTTGTGACACCACCGAGACGTCGAAATGTAATTTTGTGACTACTTGTTATTTACTAAGTAGTTAAGAAAGGTGGGAAAATAGCTGTCAAGGGCTGAAGACGACGATGCAGGTGAGGTGGACCGCGGACACTAACGTCAAGTATCCGACTGAGACTACATAAATACACACGATATGTTCTAGAGTAGAAGTGAGAGCAAGTAGGTTTCCTAATCCATAGAAATATATAGATGTACGAAAAATTGACAAATTCCGCCGGTACCGTTGCGACTAAAATGTACATTAGTGTGAGTCCGAATTCCACAACATATCCAGGGCGCATATCGGCACACACATGGTGCAGATATCGTCGGATTCATAATACCCACCATAAACGCCGAGGTTTGGAGTGGAAACTGTCTTGAGCTAAAGCCTGGTTTAAATTTTTCCCCTTAAATTACTCAGCCACCATCGTCATCATCATTGACAGTATTCTACAACGATGGTTGACTGTCAAAAAACCATGATTAAATTGAAAACTTGCTGTAAAAAAAGAATAAAAGTGGACGGGAAATGGACTTAGTAATAGCTTACTAAAACCAATTCGAGGTGCCTACTCCTCCAGACACTCATTCAGGTGATCTGGATAGAAACTGACAACAAGAATGCCACCAACATCGGTTGGTATCCACAGTACGGCAGTGAAGCATCAGTGGCAACACTGATGTTGCTGTCTTTGATGATGATGATGGTATCCACAGCAAGCAGTGTCTCCAACCAGGCACAGTGGGGATCACGCGGTCCCCATCCTGCAAAGAAAGTAACACCTACTGCACTCAAACGTTTCGCAACCTCTTTCATACCCCTCTGCCAGGTCAAAGGGTTGGTCACCTCTCTGCTTACGCCACTCTGAGTTTGGCATGGAAAGCAGCGCTCTCTTCGGCAAACGATGGTTAGGCATACGCGACACGTCCCAACCAACGCAGATCCTGGTGATGGACACATTCTTCAATGGGAGTACTCATTGCACAACCGAAGACTCGCTTTCTAATTGCCTCATTACGGTTTCGCCGATACCACCCACGCGAGCTATGGTTCTGAGACGACGACTGTCGGACAAATGAAGACGTCTCAGTTCTGCTGCTCGAACAGTCAAAGTCTCACAGCCATAGATGTTTCAAATTAGCAAATGCGACCCTGGCCTTGCAGATTCGTGCAGTCACCTCATCCGTCACACTACAATCAGAACTAACACAACTTCCAAGATAAGCGAAACGTTGTACAACTTCCAGTACCTCTCGCTGGATTGCAAGTGGCGAGTTCAGTGACTCAGCATCATCATCATCGACAGCATGACATCAGTGTTCAACACCGATGCTTCACTGCCGTACAACCATGACTTATTTGAAAGACTTATTGTGAAGAAAAGAAAAGCACAATCATTCCGAGGTGCCTACACCTCCAGACATTCACTCAGGCAATCTGGATAAAAATTGACAACAAGAACGCCACTGACATCGGTTGGCAGCCATATCTTGTAGTGCATCCAACCAGGCACAGTGAGGATCACGCGGTCCCCACCCTGGAAGGCGAGTAGCACCGACAGCACACAAGCGTTTCGTGATCTCCTTCATACTCCTCCGCCAAGTCAAGGGTTGGCCACCTCGCTGTTTACGCCACACCGAATTGGGCATGGAAAACAGTACTCTCTTGGGCAAACGATGATTCGGCATACGTAACACATATCCCAACCAACGCAGATACTGGTGCTGGACACATTCTTCAATGGAAGTACCCGTTACACAACGGAAAACACGCTTTCTAACTGCCTCGTTACGGATTCGCGACACCAACCCACGCGAGCTATGGTTCTGAGACAACGATTGTCGAACACCTGAAGATGTCTCAGGTCCGCTGCTCAAATAGACCAAGTTCAGTGACTGAACGTCCACGAGCATGAGGGTGCAAAGTGGTCAGTTCATCCAAAAATCACATGCGCCTTCTCCTCTTCGAAAACAAGAACGATGTCTTCTGAATATTTCAGATCGACAAGGTTTTCGTCACAAGCCATTTGAAAACAGGGTTTTGAAGACCTTACAGCGTTCGTCTCATGATTTCATCGATCACGAAGTTGAATAAGAATGGAGATGGTGGGCATCCCTGACGGACACCTCTTTGTGTGCGGAAGTTTTTGGAGAGCTCTCCGTACACTCTCACACGTCCGGAAGTCGGAGAATACAAAGAACGTATGATGTTTACAAACTTACGGGGCATTCCTTGGCGGGCAAGCGTCTCAAGAAGAGCAGACCGATCAACCGAGTCGAATGCGCCTCGAAAATCCAGGAATACTAGAATTGTGGGTCGCTTATACGTATGGCGTTGTTCTAGCACCTGACGCAGTGTGAAGATTTGGCCAAC